TCATCGCGGTACGCGGGCCTCTCACTACCCTCTCACGCGGGCAGATAAAAGAGTACTTTAAATTTTAAGTTATATCTTATTGAATTTTTGTCATTTTTATTTTCAATCTAAAATAGTGTTTTGCGGGACTTCCCTGGTGGCGCAGTGGTTAAGAATCCGCCTGCCAATGCAGGGGACACGGGTTTGATCCCTGGTCCGGGAAGATTCCACATGTCGCGGAACAACTAAGCCCGTGCACCACAACTACTGAGCCCACGAGCCACAACTACTGAAGCCCGCACGCCTACAGCCCGTGCTCCACAAGAGAAGCCACTGCAACAAGAAGCCCACACACCGCAACAAAGAGTAGCCCCTGCTTGCCACAACGAGAGAAAGCCCATGCTCATCAACAAAGACCCAATGCAGCCAAAAATAAATGAATAAATAAATAAACAAATAAATAAATAAATAAGCTTTGCAGGAGTTCCCTGGTGGCCTAGTAGTTAGGATTCCAGGCTTCACTGCCATGGCCCAGGTTCAGTCCCTGGTTGGGAGACAGATCCTGCAAGCCACATGGCACAGCCAAAAAATAAATAAAAGAGTGTTTATTTATTTATTTTTGGCTGCGTTGGGTCTTCGTTGCTCTGTTATTTCTCTAGTTGCGGTGAGTGGGGGCTACTCTTTATTATGGTGTGCGGGCTTCTCGTTGCGGTGGCTTCTCTTGTTGCAGAGCACAGGCTCTAGGCGCGGGCTTCAGTGGTTGCGGCACACGCGCTCGTAGTTGTGGCTTGCGGGCTCTAGAGCACAGGCTCAGTAGTTGCGACACACGGGCTTAGTTGCTCCGAAGCACGTGGCATCTTCCCAGACCGGGGCTCAAGCCCGTGTCCCCTGCATTGGCAGGCAGATTCTTAGCCACTGAGCCACCAGGGAAGCCCCTTGCACAATCCTTCTGTTCATAGGATGGACAGGGGGACAAATAAGTGGCTGGTGATGTAACCCTGCAACGGCTCATCTTTTAATGACTAACCATTTACAAATTTATGCAAATTCCTTTTGGATATGTCACTACAATGACACTGACATCATGGCCAATAGACAGGCAAGTATTTGAAACAAATGCCAAATTCAATCTCTAAGTAGATTTATTAGAAAATCAAGCACAAAGTGGGGGTGGGGGGAGGGGCATGATTTGATCTGCTCAATTCAGGCAAAAGTCATATGGGTGGCAAAATTACCTCCATCAGTATGAAATGGGATTGAGTTTCTCATTGTTTTGGAAACTTAAGGCGGGGCGGGTGGGGGGTGGTGGTGGAGGGGGGGTAGCTCATTGTGCCCTCAGTGGCTCAAGAATTGCTGGAATCTGTCTGGGAAACCATGCAAACACAGTGTTTGGTCCAGGTCAGAAACTCTGGCCCATCAGGAACCTTGGTCCGCTAAGATAATATCTGAATTCTCTTGGAATGTTAAACTCAAAAATAGTAAAACCCTTCTGTGTCCTTTTTATACAGGTAAGTTTAAAGTCTTAAAACTTTCATATTAAGGTTAAGAATAGTTTGTATGTATCTGTATTTAAATTGTAATGTTTAGGGCTTCCCTGGTGGCGCAGTGGTTGAGAGTCCGCCTGCCGATGCAGGGGACACGGGTTCGTGCCCCGGTCCGGGAGGATCCCACATGCCGCGGAGGGGCTGGGCCAGTGAGTCATGGCTGCTGAGCCTGCGCGTCCGGAGCCTGTACTCCGCAGCGGGAGGGGCCACAACGGTGAGAGGCCCGTGTACCGCACAAAAAAAAAAAAAAAATTGTAATGTTTAGGAGCTTCCCTGGTGGCGCAGTGGTTAGGAATCCACCTGCCAATGCAGGGAACACGGGTTCGATCCCTGGTCCTGGAAGATCCCACATGTCGCGGAGCAGCTAAGCCCGTGTGCCACAACTGCTGAGCCTACACTCTAGAGCCCATGCTCTGCAGCAAGAGTAGCCACCGCAATGAAGAGTAGCCACCACAGTGAAGAGTAGCCCCTGCTCACCGCAACTAGAGAAAGCCCGCACACAGCAACGAAGACCCAACGCAGCCAAAAAATAAATAAATTAAATAAATTTTTTAAAAATTGTAATGTTTAAGGGAACTTGGCATACTACAAATGCAAATAAAAAATGTGTGATTGAGTAATTGACTTGAGATTTGTGATTTTAATTGGAAAGGTATGAGACTACATTAGAATACTTCAAAAAGTTTTAAAACTCACTTTATTTGTGATTTTAATTTTTTAGATTTAGAAGAATTGTTTACATACTTCCGAAAGTTTTAAAATACTAAAAAATAATACATCATGTTAAATTGATAGCATACTAAATTTGAAGAAACTTGCCTAACATAAATGGGACTGAGTTTTTGAAGGGAGTTTAGTCCATTCAACTGGAATTTAACTCAATATTAACAGAAAAAGTGAAGATGATTCTAAAATTTTATTTAGTTAGATTCATAAATAAAACAAATTTTCTAAGTCAGTCTTAAAGACTCAAGGAAAACTGGATAAAATGCACTTACTATAGAAGTTGAATATTAGTTTTTAAAATGCAAGTGTGAAAAATAGCATCCCCTGTCCATAAAAATCATACGTGGACATTAAAAAACTCACATTGGCAAAATATATTTAATTTTCAGCCAAATTCTCTAAATTATCTGTTACCTCCTTTATCCCTGGCGCTTAGTTATGCTGTGGTCTCCTCTTCATAAGTTTTAAGATAGAATGATATTCTTGGTGCTGGTGATGATTTAACCCAATGACCTTCACTGCAAATGACTCGAGAACAAAATGATGAAAGGGCAATGAGTCCGTGAGCCAGACAGAGCGAGAGAGGTTTTGCAAAGAGAATGAAAAGCATATTATGTTTTTAATATTTTCTTTTAAATATATAAAAATACTTTTGTTTTAGAGACTGAGTTTTCCAGCAGATGTTTCTTGATTGTGTGCTCACTTGCCAGGTTCACTCTGATATTCCTGGAACAGAAAACAATTTAAGGGATATTCAATACTCAAGTGACTTAGAGCTTAAATCCTTTCTCTTCTCAAATAAGAAGTCTAGAGGTTAAGGTCGAATTCTGTCATGTTCCCAAACAAAGAAAAAAATTAAGAAGGGGCTACCACCTATGCTTTAATATTGGCACAATTAACAAGTCACAACACTTAAAGGGAAAAGAGAGGCAAAGGCTAGCTTGTCTTTTCTGATATATTATGCGTCAATATAATGTGGTGATTTTCAACATTTAAAAAATGGACTTTCCTGGTGGCGCAGTGGTTAAGACTGTGCTCCCAATGCAGGGGGCCGGGTTTGATCTCTGGCCCGGGAACTAGATCCCACATGCATGCCGCAACTAAGGAGCCCACGTGCCTCAACTAAGAAGCCGGCAAGCTACAACTAAGCAGCCTGCCTGCTGCAACTAAGACCCGATGCAACTAACTAACTAACTAAATATTAAAAATAATAAAATAAAAAATGAAAAGAGGATCTGAGTTTTTAGGAAAAGAAGTTAAGGGAATATTACTAATTATGCAAAATCTATTAACCCTCTTAAAGAAACACCTGGGTAGAAAGTTAATCGGAAATGGAAAGCCTCTCTATACTTTCCTCTAAATAATTTTGTTTAGAAATAACAGAAGTTAACTGTTTTGAAGATTAAATATTTGCCAGGCATTTTACAGCTATTACCTCATTCAATCCTCACTATACTATTAGGCTTTCATTCATTCACTCATTTATTACGTGTCCACCTGGCTGGGTATGTGGCTAAGCGCTGAGAATTCACTAGTGAGCATTATCGGCCTATGTCAAGATCAAGAAGTTAAGTAATTATACTATACTCTTCACAGGAGGAAAGGGAGGGTAGGCTCTGAGAGGTTAATTTACTTGCCCAAGGTCACACAGTGCTGAAGCAGTTACAAACTCATTTCAAATCTTTGCCCTCAATCATTAAGCTGTCAACAGACTTCAAGATTTTCTCCCTTAAAAAAAAAAATTTTTTTTCTTCCTCAAGATTTGTTGCTTTTAAGTTATCTTTCCAAATTTTTTAAGCATTTTTGTCTTAGAATTAAAAGTCTTATAGTCAATGATCTCTCTGCCCTCCGCTTTTTCACCGTGTAGACCAAAGAACAAGCGGTGAATGTACACTCTGCCAGGCATCTGGGAGACTTCAGGGGCGAGAAGCCAAGTTCCAGAGGGATGGGGGACATTTTTGAAGAAACAATAGCAACCCCGACACAAGGCCAGCCTATAAATTCGAGGGTCACAAAGCTGGTCCACTGCCAAAAGAAGCAGTGTTTTTTCACCTTCACTTTGCCTTTTCCCACTACTTCCAAGGCCGTTTTGAAGCTCGACACTCGCCGCAGTGCCTAGTCCACTGGCTCCACAAGGCCGAGAAATCTAATTTTTTATTCTACACCCTTAGCTCCCTACGCCTGTACGTCTCTTTTCGACTTCTCTCTCACATGCTTTTCACTCCATCTTCACCCCGGCGGATAATCTATACAAGAGCGTTTTCGTTTTATTCTATCGCCACATGGACTAGGTTGCTTTATGGCGACCTTGACAGACATCTAGATATGAGGCTCGCGGGAGGGGTGGAAAGCCGTCAACGCGGAGGGAGAAACCTTCTGATAGTCGCTGGGAGGTGCCACGAGGGGGCGGTGACCACCATGCTCCACTCAACGGTGAGTTTTCTAGAAGATTGACAGGAAACGTACCAACCGTCTTTGCGCTAGCAATTTGAGGGATCTCGCGAGATGTGGACGCCAATCTGGAGGGGGGAGTCAAAAGCGCCTCTCTGAGTGGGGGATGGGAATATCCGTGGCGCAATCATTGCGCGAGATTAGGCCACGGTCGCTGGGCCCTATGCCTAGATCTCGCGATATTTCCGATGCTCCGGACTGAAACTAAGAGCAGCTTCTCGCGAGAGCCCGTGCTGAGGGCTCTGTGAGGCCCCGTGTGTTTGTGTGTATCTCTGTTGGTGAATGTTAGTACGGGGAAGCCGCGGCCGCCATTTCAGAGAGCTTGCCGACGCTGTCGCCGGGGTGGATCCTCAGCTGCCGAAGCCGCCTTCCTGAACTCCCGCGCGGGCTCCTCTAATCCCATTGTTTCTTTTAGATTCTCTTGGGCCTATCCGCCCTCGGAGCCCGAAATTTGGGCTGGGTGGTACTGCGGCCTGGGCCTAGCGGCTTAACAGTAGCAACAGCGGCGGCAGTAGCAACCCCCCTCTTTCCGAATACGAGCACCGCTGGGGCCCCGAAAGCCCGCACAGGTAAGGAGGCGTCGCGGACCCCCGTATTTGCATGGCTTTTCTGAGGTGTGGTTCTTTTTTGGGTTGAGGGGCACTCCTTAGGCGGTCTTAAGCGACGGGGTGGGGGGGGCAGGTTTTCGAGAAACGGGCTTCATTTCGAAGACCGCGCCCTTCTTTTTCGGTCGGGTAGATTTCAGGGTTTTCGGGTGGAATGGGCTCCAGAGAGGCCTCGGGCAGATGGCGACCTGTCCCTTCGAGGCCTGCGGCGACCGCGACCTCCCAACATGGCGCCAGCCGAATGCTGTCTTGGCACCGAACTCCTCCCAACCGAGGGAGTTTCCCTTTGCCCCTAAAATGGCAGCGCGGGTTTTTGCGCGGAAAGAGGAGCTTTCGTTCGATGCTCTCGGGTTGTTTTTTGAGGCATTACAGGCTTCTTAAAAATCGGATACTTAATCTGCTTTAGCGTTTTCGGTCTTGGGGACATTTCAGGTTTAATTGTCAAGCCTACTAAAGTGCGTCGTCCCACCTTAGTCGTTTTGTGGGGCGTCTCGGAAGTTTTGGAATATGTCCGGTAAAAAGGAAATTTAGCAAAATTTAAAATTGTTTTTACTCATTGAATTTTTCATTCTTATTCTTTACCTAGGCGTTCAGAGAAAATGGCAGACGATATTGATATTGAAGCAATGCTTGAGGCTCCTTACAAGAAGGTGAGAAAAAACAAGTCGGTGAGGTTTATCTATTTCTTAATTTAGCATTATTCACGAAACTACTGCTGAAATGTAAACTAACCTCCCCGGAGCCCTCTTGATTTATCTTATCAGAGATGCATTAAGTGTAACTTACAAAAGTAAATATATGCTATTGATGTAATAATATTGTGCAGTAGTTTCACTTCAGCGTGATGAATAAATGCCCATCTATCTCTCTTTGTAGACTTGCCTAACGATATCTCACCTCTACTCCCATGAATTCACCTTTGATTCCAGTGTGAACTGTCAATCATAAGGTAGTAATTGAGTGACTTATCGCTGTACCGTGGTCCCCTAGGTAAAATGACTCAACTAAGAATTACCAGCTCCAGTTTGGTATAGCAAAAAGGTGAATGTAGTGGTTTGGGAAAGCAGCAGGGGTCCAAGAATAACACAGCATAACCAGTCTGTGGCAAGCAAATCTTTAAATAAGACAAGTCTTACAAGAAGAAATGGGTGAGATTTAAAAATTTATCCTATACATGAGACTGGTAATAGTCAATATTAAAACAGGCAGGTGATGATCTGCTCAGTTAAAAATTACTAAAATTCTTGGATCCCTGAATAAAAAAAAATTCTTAAAGCAAAAGAGGCAATATCACAACTTGAGTCACTTGATGACTGTTTTAACTGTTCTCCATATTGTTTTATTTTTAATTAGTCCCTGTCATATTTCACACATAAAACTACAAAGGAGTTATTTTGACTAATAATACAGTCTTTGACCCATTTCAGTATCACAGTAAAAGTGTCTTTTCATTCTTTCACCAGTTGGTGGTGAAAATAGCAGTATGCATGCGTTATCACTGATGTCACAAACTGTAAGCTTTGTAAATTAGCACTTATACTCCTATAACTGATGTGATCAAACTTTAAAATAAACATTGCGCTAAACCTTTTAAAAATAATACATTTGTTTTGGAGTGTATAGCTCGACCATGTGGTACCAATTTGGATGAATTCTTTAAAGCTTTAAATAGTGTATGTAGTTTTGTAATGCTTAGACTCTTGAAGCGCTACTTTCTATTTTAATGTTAAGATTCTGTCTTAGTTTAACATGGATGTAATTCCATGTAAACAGGTATGGAAGTAGGACTGGTCGATTATTAATTGACTTTCTTGGGTTCTTGGGAGTCAACATTACTAAAGCAGTGTGAATCCCTGTTTGCTTCAGGGCGAGATGTGTGACAGAGGTGGCATCAAGCTCTTACAGTCCCAACCCTCCAACGGAAATGGGCGAAGATCTCAGGAATGGCATCGGTCACAGGAAATCGATAGTGGCTGGCTGCTAGCATGGCCACATGGGGCTTAGGCAGAAATAGAGCCATGGTACTGACCAAAGGGGCCATAGCACATGGAATAAAACTCAAAACAGGACTTCATTCATGTTTTATAGAAATTCTATTTAACCACTTCAACACTGTAAATCTGGATAACTTACTATCTAACTATGTAAGAAAATAAAATTTGACGTGTTAATATGCATTTTTATTTTTGTATCTTGATGACTTAATTTGTAAGCAACAAAGTGGTTAAACACATATCCATCTAAATTTTTTTATAGCCTTCCATGTTAAACTATAAATAAGTAATTAGTTTTAAAATTGTTTTGTATTTTCTTATTCCTATTCCCTTTACCCTTTGACAACTTGAAATGTTACCACTTCGTCCTCATGATGTTCTTCTATCAACCCTGCTTAGGATGAGAACAAGTTGAGCAGTGCCAACGGCCATGAAGAACGTAGCAAAAAGTAAGTTTTAAGAAGGGACCTGGGTTGGGGGGAGCTATATGTGATTGATTTTTTAAGTTGTATTCCTGTGGCTAAAGCATCAAACCCAAGGTTCTCTCCTGAAGGGTTTCTTTGCCTTTTTTAGAAAAGTAGGTTCTTTACTTTCTGGGATGAGACACTATTCGAGGATGTAAAACTACAGACTCTTTCCTTAATTTCAGGAATTGGTGTCAGGAACTTTTTGGACACCTTCCCCTCCAAGTCCATCCATGACAATCTGCATAAGAGTTCTAGTGTTAGAGCTTGTCTTTTGTCTTAAATTTATTAACTTCGGTTTAATATTATTTTATCAATGTTATCAGTAAAACTGGTATATCCACTGAAGATGGTTAGAAGAAGGTAATAACCAGGCTGTAGAGAAGTATTGTTTGTTCTAAATTACTGAAGGAGTCAGAGCTGTGAATTATTTATGCTCCTTGATGCTCCTAAAGGTTCTTTTTGTAGTAATGTTATAGCACACTTAAGTACTTCTTAATGTTCCTCTTACATGGCTTTCGTCCTCTTAAGCTTTTTAAACTCTGACAGACTTAATTGTGAGAATGGAGTTTCAAAAAGCTATGAATATTTATGCGTGTCATTTAGGTTAAAGAAGTAACCCTTAATAGGAACTCTGATACAGACTAGTACAGAGTATGGTATACAAGAAGTCTAAATAGATGCGCTTTATAAAATTTGATCCTGTTCTTGGAGTTTTCCTTCAGCTCTAAAATCATTGAGTCTTAACATCACATGGTCTGTATTATAAGCATTAAGACATTTTATTAGCCTTCGTGATGTCATATTCAAACGTTCTGTCATGTTCATGACCCCATAATGCATAATGAAAAGTGATGTAGAATAAGCCACTTATTTGGTTCTTTTTGGTGCTTCCTTCTAAGAGCTCTAAGTGCTTCATAATATACTACTTCAATATTCTCACAAGTTTGTAAGGTAGGTTAATATAATTCCATAAAATAGATGAGGACATAGACTGGATTGTCCAGGTTTTGCTACACCAATATTCTTACCCCTAGAATATTGTAATGGATCAAAATGATGCAATTTGTAGGACATGTCCTATATTTTTTCTGTTTGGGTGGGAGTCTGTTATAGCTCCTCACTAATCACGTTAGGGGTATTGGGTTGGGTTTAGTCTTGAATTGTTATGATTTGAGGCAGTCGTCAACCAATCTTTGCGTGGTGTAATGTCCTCTGATTTTAGACCTTTTACCAAAGTAAGTTTCCTAATTAATCGTTGTGATTTGCAATTCTGTAATCAAAACCCAGGAAGGGGTAACCATATAAATTGAAATTATCCAATCTCTAGATATCAGGCCAAGTGGATGGATAAAGATCTCACTCTAAGTGCCAAAAGAATGAGGACCTACACTATAGGGCACATGCCTTCTTTGTTGTACCATTCTTACATGTCATTTCTTGCTACTAATACCATCTCCAGTTTATATTTGTTAATCATCCTACAACGAAGCTCATTAAGACTACCAGCCTTTTAAAAGGAAATTTAGCATTAAGCTCTCAATGACTGGTGCTTACTTAGTGGTGTTTATATATATAATGTAAAGAGTCCAATGGGACTAAATAGAACGGACAATTTAATTGGCCATAGGATTCTTTGTTTAAGGGAAGAACCTTTTCAAAACTACAGCTATCATCTAGTTTCTTTTTAAATGTACATATTATTTCTCTGTCAGACTTCTCAGTCTCCTCATTCTCAGTTAAAGCTGATTAAATAAATGACTCCCTTGGTCAGTCAGTAACTGTTCACCCATTTTTTTTCTGAAGGGAATTAATCTTTCAAATTAATTTGAAAGTTATCTAGAAAAAAATTTTTGTATTTAGGCATAAATTACAAAACAAGCAGAATGTTCTTGTGTATTAGTTTTTAGTATAAATTAGGTCTCTTAACCAAAGGAACGTGCCATGTGCATTTTTCATCCTAAAACTTCATTGTTTTTTAAAAGCCATTGAGTATTGGGATGTAGTTTTAAGGTAGTAAGAAAATGCACATTATGAGAAATTGAGAGTTGACTAGTAAATGTTTTCTTTTAAAAAATAGTAATTCTCAGTACATACATTCAATTGATTTCAGGTAATAGTAAAAGGAACTAAGTTTAATATTAACGCAAATTGGTTGTCTATTAGCCTTCTTTCTGAAAAGCTATACTCCTGAGCTTGGCAAGACCTCAAAGTATGCCTTTTTAAGTACCCGAGCTTGCCTTCATGGGAGTATTATTTGTTAGTATAACCAGTTTTGCAAAGTCGCAACCAGCATCCATTCAGTTAAGCTCTTTTGGAATTTCTCAAAAAAGGATAAAAAACAATAAATGACACAGTTGAAATATATTGGCTACTGTGGTGTGGATTATCTATAAATTTTGGAATAAATGACTTTTCTATTTTTTTTCTTATTTTCCAGAGTACTTTGCATTTAAAATTTAGATCTTCTTACATGGAAGAGGTCAAATCCAGTTATAGCAAAACACCTTTACAGCAGAGGCCATATAACCAAAAAGTCCAAAGGCCCAGCCCAGTGGACCATTTACTTCAATGATGTTCAGTACAAAATTCCACTGCCACTAAAGACTTTGGAAAGTCCCTTTTAAGTTGTAACAGGATTTGACTATTAGTGTGGATTTTGATAACCCTTCTTTAGTTAACTTAATAAATGTTCTTTGAAGCTTCATCTTGTTATAGAGAAGTACACTGCTTTCTTGCACCCTTAAATTTTTGTCTGGGCTTTATAAAGAGGATTATATTTCTGAATGTCTTAGTATGTTGCTGTCTTTTTACCTGTCTGGGGTTGCCTTCAGATGTGGGTGGGGACTCATTTATAAAAAGTCCTAGGAAGACCTTAAGTTGAAATTAGCTCTCCAATTTTCGAGTCCTTTCCTTTGGCGCAATAAATTTTGGGCCTAAAAAGAGGTAATTTGGGAGGTTGGCTGCCTCTCTGCAATGGGCCATTATAAGCAGAGCAAAACTTTATTTGTCCTTTTTGTGGGGGATGGAGTTTTTACTTTGTCCCCTAATTGATAATATTTAGGATTTTTGATTATAGCTATCTCAGAATTCTTTAGTCTAAGAGATAGTTTCAGGTTTTTAGGCAACAAAGTTAGAATGTTATCTGTTGCCCTTCTGGGCATTGCTTTGATGACTTCTGTATAAGTAATGAGTGTAGCCTAATTTTCTGTCATGTGCTACCTAGCATATACATTTCTGACAGTCAGGTGGATTATCTTGAAATTTTAGACAAAGTTTCTGCCTCCTTGGAAAGCTCTACATCTCCTTGTGATTGGAGTGTGGGTTTCAAGATTCCAGAAGGTGGGTGTCTTCATTTTCTATTTTCAATGCACTCTAAGATGACCTGCTTACAGGTTCTCTGAGGCAGACTTCAATTGCTCTTGTGCTAACTTTGCTTTGATAAGGACTAAACAGTTAATTCAATTTCCAAATGATGTAGTTGTCAAAATGTTTCATAATCTTTTAGCCACTACAAAATGACATTTAAGTGGATGAGTTTAATTTGAAATGTCTTTCAATTTATACTGAAATATCTGAAGGCACCTCTAAAATTTGGGTGATGACAGAGGTACAGATTATAAAAATTATGGAATGAGTGGGTGGTATGCTGTGAGGAATACAGAAATGAACAGGAAGATACACGACTGACTGGCTTTTTTACCTTTCAGAGCTTGAGAATTTATAAAGATTTATAAAGGTGTTGATTCTTCCTTTTGGTTGTACCCCACAGGCTTGTATAAACTGGCATAAAAATGGCATATTTCAATATCTGGTGTACTCATTGTAACTTGAAAAAGTATCTGAAGTGGTCACATTGAAGTCTGGGAGTGTCAGATTGCATTTTACGGCATTAGTTTTATTGTCCTTTGTCATTATTTGTAATAATTTTGCCCATAAAAACCGAAATAGTGATGCCTGTATGGCCCTTTGAAAGTATATAATCATATGTGCAAATTGGGTCAAAATTGGCTTACTTAAGAGAAATTAGTGTATTTAATGGCAACTTTTTTATATGATCCAACACTAATACCTAAAGTATTCTGTTGTGACTTTGATTCTATTACTGTATGTTTTGGATTACAGTTATACTTAGTTGGCCAGATATGATAGAACTTTTAAATAAAGTTCACGAGACTTCCCTGGTACTCCAGTGGTATGTGACTCTGTGCTGCCACTGCAGGGGGCATGGGGTTCGATCCTTGGTCAGGGTTAAGATATATCCTGCATGCTGTGCAGCATGGCCAAAAAAAAAAAAAAAAAATTTAAAAGTTCAGGTTTTGATTTATACCTACCAATAAGTTCTCTCCTTGTTAAAGCTTTAGCTGACTCTCAAGAAAGGTCATTATAGTTCCTCTCACTCAAATGATTCATTGTCAACTGGCTGCTGATTTTCAGTAGTAGAAGGCAAAGGTGGGGTGTTGTTTGCCTTACCTAGGAATTATTTTTCCATAAGTGATTATTATGTATCATTGTATGATAGTAAAAATAGCAAAATATATCTGACCATAAAAGGAAGTATATTTTTTGCATATTCTTAAATCAGCAAGATAATGGTGACTTTTTTCTTCTCAGAAGGAAAAAAAGCAAGAGCAGAAGTCGTAGTCATGAACGAAAAAGAAGCAAAAGTAAGGAACGGAAGCGAAGTAGAGATAGAGAAAGGAAAAAGAGCAAAAGCCGTGAAAGGAAGCGGAGTAGAAGCAAAGAAAGGAGACGGAGCCGTTCAAGAAGTCGAGATCGCAGATTCAGAGGCCGTTACAGAAGTCCTTAGTATGTAACTATAATTATGATCATATTGGTTTGAGAGATTTTTCTGGGTATACAGATAGCAGCGTAACTGGAGTGACTTGAATTGTGGAATTTTATTTTTCTATATGATGAGTTAAAAAGTATTAAATAAGGATTTTGGCATTGAAAAGTCCAGTAGAAATGCATTGTGTGGACAGATACATGTTTGTTTTACTAGGCATGCAGAACATTTTCTGTTACTCCATCTAAAAATATTGCTGTGTGCCAATTCAAACTAAAGCACTAAAGTGCTTTTAATAAAGATTTGATAGTGTAGTGCCAAATATGTGAAAGCTTAAAGGTTTGTGAGCTATCACAGTATCCTTTACTGAACATAAAGTTTTTAAAGCTCGGATACAAATTGCAAATATATATCGTCAGTCAAATATATAGTTAACAGTCTTGTCTGTGTGGCTGTTTTCAGCTGAAATGACAGACCAGTTGTGAATTTAGTGCATGCTTCTTGATAATGATCACACATCTTTGTATTTAAGGTGTTTTAATAGTAAGAACGCACTAAAACTGCTTTTGAAGGTTGAATCACTATGGAAATTCTGATGTGGTTAAACATGTTGGAAATGTTTTCGTTAATAGTAATTTTTAAAAAGCTAAAATGTATTAATGACTTTGGAAAGAGCCTTCTTGCAGCTCTTTAAGCAGTCTAACAATCCCTAGTGATTTATGATGTTCTTTCCTGTTAGTAAATATACTGTTGTAAACTGTGGGATACGTTAAAATTAACAGTTTTAACGTTAAAACTTGAATGGTTTAAGATTGAATTCAAAGACAACAGTCTTGAATCAGAGCCTTGGCTCTTTAAATTGGTTAAACACTCTAAGAAACATTCTTAAGGTTTAGTTTTCTCATCTTTTAAGAAGGAGGTAACCACTGACAGGCTATAATAGTCTTGAATGAGAAGAGAATGTAAATTAGAGCACCCACAATACTGTTACTGATGAAATGTTTTGTTATTATTTGAAGCCAATGAAGTTAGTAATACTTGGAGTTCTGATTCAGGTTTTTCAATAAAAAGGATTCCACTCCTTGTTCTGTAAGGTCCTCTTAGCTGATTATTTTATAAACTTTTTAGCAGCTTAAAAAGGACCACAATGTTATTTTACGTCTGAGTGCTTTATTAGAAAATACTTTGCTTTTTATCCAATTGATCAAAATTTACTGCATTCTTTTTTACCAGAATGAACTAAATGGGGGGAAGGATTGCTTTAATAAATTCTGAATATTATTATCTCTGATCAGTGATGAATACTTGAAGTCAGCCTGTGATTCTGGTCTGACTTAAACTCACTTGGTTCTTATGTTTGGTTTCAGGTGATTTTTAACTACCAAGGCAGTAACTGAAACTTTTATAATTGAAGGGGAAAGGAAATAGCTTATAGACTCTTATTTATCCAGTAAATATATATTCTTAATGATCACTTTTAGTGTGCTTTGCAAAGGACCCATTTAATACAATTTTATTTGGAACTGCTTGGGTGTTATACGTGCACGTAGAGTCCATGAAAACACATCCAAATGTGGATTGAAGACCACTATATATTTTCATTTTGCTACCCATCTGGTAAAGGATAGCAGGATGAGCACTAAGGGACATCTGATCTGACCTTTTAACTTAGTTTGGTCGTTCAAAATAAAAGGGCCATAAACTACTGGGCCATTTTAGAATATTGTAGACTACAGAATAAAGCTTTTTAAAAAGTTACTTTTGTGATCTTTTTCGAAAATACTCCTTTAATATGTCAAGTCCCGAAAAAAGAATTTTCCTGAGGGATTGATGAACTTCCTTCACATCTTTACCATGGACTATTTTGTCGGAAAGAACTGAGGTGTGTGACATGCTACATAGGCTTATATGCAGTCTTGGAGACTTAACTGTTAAATGAAAAAGTTGGAGTTTCATGATTATGGAAAGAATTAGTTCCTTTATATTTTAAAAGAAACTCCTCAAGGGAATTCCCTGGTTAGGACTCTGCATTTTCACTGCCTGGGGCCTGGGTTCAGTCCCTGGTTGAGGAACTAAGATCCCACAAGCCATGCAGTGTGGCCTGAAAAAAAAAAATAAAAAAAGAGTTCCTCAAACAAGAAGACATACATGAACGTTGTATATGTATGTATATATGAGCACATGTATATTCCTTAGGAAGGATCTGCAAAGATGCACACCAGATTGTTAATTATAGTTAGTCCTGGTGTGAGGGAAGTTCAGGATAATTTTCACTTTGTGTCTTTTTTTTTCCCCTAAATCTCAGAAACGTATTCATAAATATGTAGTTAAAGAGAACTAGACTGAAAATTGAGCATTTTCAGAATATTAAAAATCTTGAGGCTGTAACCTTTGGTCTTGGCACCTCTCAGTGGTCCAGGATGGATAACTGTAAGAGCAATTTGCCTGGGATAGAGTTAAGAGAAGAAAAAGTCTCTTTATTTCCTCTTCATAATTGAGGTGGAAAACAAGCAGCCTAAACAATGTTAAACTTGCTGGAGAGCGCATGAACGCGATCTTAGCAAGACCCTAACCCTGTAACTAGTGTAATTTTGTGTTTCCTTTTTAGCTCCGGACCAAAATTTAACAGTGCCATCCGAGGAAAGATTGGGTTGCCTCATAGCATCAAATTAAGGTTTTTAAACATACTTCTGAATTGTTTAAATTGTTTTTCAAGGAACTAACGTGGTGTACTTGTTTGGGTAACTTTTGAAACTTTTTTAACTTGCAGCAGACGACGCTCCCGAAGCAAAAGTCCATTCAGAAAAGACAAGAGCCCAGTGAGGTAACTGTTGTCCCTATTTCTTTTGTTTTGTACTTTTAGCTTTTATAAAGTTTTTACAACTTATGCTACTGCTAAATTTAATGACAAATAGTAATTTGGATCATATTAAATCTTGATTGATTTTGCAGTTCTAGTATTATTAGTTTTTAAAAGATTTATTTTTGGCTGAGTTGGGTCTTCATTGCTGCACGCGGGCTTTCTCTTGTGGGGGCAAGCGGGGGCTACTCTTCGTTGTGGTGCATGGGCTTCTCATCACGGTGGCCTCTCGTTGCGGAGAACGGCCTCTAGGCGTGAGGGCTTCAGTAGTTGTGGCTCACGGGCTCTAGAGCGCAGGCTCAGTAGTTGTGGCGCACGGGCTTAGTTGCTCTGCGGCATGTGGGATCTTCCCGGACCGGGGCACAAACCCGTGTCCCCTGCATCGGCAGGCGGACTCTTAACCACTGCGCCACCAGGGAAGCCCCCAATTCTAGTATTATTAATGTGAATTTCTAAGTTTTCAATAACTTGCATGTGAGAAGAACAGAGCAGAAATTCCCACTTTAACGTGTAGATGTTACATGTGCTTTTATTTCCCTTTTATAGTAGCTAAAAAAAATTTTTTTAAACATCTTTATTGGAGTATAATTGCTTTACAGTGGTGTGTTAGTTTCTGCTTTATAACAAAGTGAATCAGTTACGCGTATACATACGTTCCCATATCTCTTTCCTCTTGCGTCTCCCACCCTCCCTATCCCACCCCTCTATGTGGTCACAAAGCACCGGGCTGATCTCCCTGTGCCACGCAGCTGCCTCCCACTAGCTAGCTATTTTATGTTTGGTAGTGTATATATGTATATGCCACTCTCTCACTTTGTCACAGCTTACCCTTCCCCCTCCCCATATCCTCAGGTCCATTCTGTAGTAGGTCTGTGTCTTTATTCCTGTCTTACCCTTAGGTTCTTTGTGACCTTTTTTTTTTTCCTTTGATTCCATATATATGTGTTAGCATACGGTATTTGTTTTTCTTATTCTGACTTCACTCTGTATGACAGACTCTAGGTCCATCTGCCTCACTACAAATAACTCAATTTCATTTCTTTTTATGGCTGAGTATATTCCATTGTATATGTGCCACATCTTTATCTATTAATCCGATGATGGACGCTTAGGTTGCTTCCATCTCCTGGCTGTTGTAAATAGAGCTGCAATGAACATTGTGGTACATGACTCTTTTTGAATTATGGTTTTCTCAAGGTATATGCCCAGTAGTGGGATTGTTGGGTCGTATGGTAGTTAATATTTGTAGTTTTTTAAGGAACCTCCATAATGTTTTTCATAGTGGCTGTATCAATTTACGTTCCCACCAGCAGTGCAAGAGTGTTCCCTTTTCTCCACACCCTCTCCAGCATTTATTGTTTCTAGATTTTTTGATGATGGCCATTCTGACCGGTGTGAGGTGATATCTCATTGTAGTTTTGATTTGCATTTCTCTAATGATTAGTGATGTTGAGCATTCTTTCATGTGTTGGCAGTGTGTCTAAAACTTTTTAATGGTAGCTGTAGAAAACTTTAGCCTTGACTCACCTTTGGAGTTAATAAATTTTAAGTTATTGAAATAACTTCTTGTGGGAAAGTAGTTGAAATAGTCATGAGTTTTATCATTTGGCTCCATTACTTGAGAAAAGTATTTAATTTCCAAAATCGTAACCGAGTTGACTTGATTTCAAGTAGTAATATTATGTTTTTGAGTGTTTCTGCGAGGTATTTTCCTCTTAAAAAAAGATAAGACTCATCTATCCAGTCTACCATTTTGGTTCAAGGAATGTTTTGTTAACACGATAGCATTGTTTTTTTACTGATGTTCTGGCTTCCCTTAAAAAGGTACCTTTTAACTTTTGAGTCTATCTTGTTTGACGTATTCTAACCGTAGGATTTAGTGATAGCCTTAATGTTCTTAAAGGCGCTCTTTGTAACAGATACTGAGTTTTTGTTTAATATTTAGTTTTCTTTCATGGGAAAACTCCCGTTTAGTTCTCATTCTTTGGATATAGTCAGCTTTGTACCGCTGTTATACGGTAATAGGTTTAAAATTACTTGCAGATTTCTCAAGGGGATGTAACGTGAGTTTTGTAAAGTTCTTCCGGAGAATGTCCAGAACATGGTTAAGAAAGAGCATGTTTGTGCTTACATTTTTAAGGATTTACTTAGAACCTTAATCTTAGTAGAATTATTTATAATAATGTCAGTAGACAATGTTATTTTTCCTTGACGTTCATTAAGTTAAATTTATCTCTAGTGCTCTTTTACTTTTCTCACATATTTGGGCACTTTTAGTTTCCTCGGTAAATTTAGAAGTGTACACCATCTATTTGTAAGCATGAGTAGATTAAATCCCACTATTGTTATTTGGCTAGATAATCTCTTGCTTTTCATTTTTGACTTGCTAATTGTTCCTGTCTCTGTATTCTATAACCATCAAGTATTTTTTCGGGTATTTGTAGAGTCTTAGTAAGACTGATCTAATTCTGATAAACAGCTGCCTCAGTATTCCATGTATCTCTCTCAGTTTGTGAAAAAAAATTCTTAGAGTCAAATAGTTTTCATCATTTGGGGTTTTACTCTCAAGTTTGTCATTTGTGATTATGAAACTTAATTTTATTTTATGATTTCCTTTTGGGGAAACATCCTTTCTACTAATTTGGACCAGTCCAACATTAGTGTGGACTCAGGGGTTATTACTTGTGACTGTCATTAAACTCTCAGGCTTCTGATTGGCCCTTTATTATCCTGGAGAGAGTACCATTTGTAAGATTGAGAGGCCAGTGGACTTTGGTCCTGATAATGTAAGATACTATCAGAAGAAACATTTAGAAATTATCATCATATTGAAGACATTGAGTCACACTGAATTATTTTATGGACATTTTATATACATCATAGTTAAAGTGGGCTTGGGAGTAGTGACAAACTGGTTTCAGGAAAGTTTATTCTGTTTACTGAAAATGTGCATTAAGAGTTATTTTAAAAGAATAAGTTATAAAGTTAATTCTATATTCTTTACCCCTGTTAGGGAGCCTATTGATAATCTGACTCCTGAGGAAAGAGATGCAAGGACCGTTTTCTGCATGCAGCTGGCAGCAAGAATTCGGCCAAGGGATTTGGAAGAGTTTTTCTCCACAGTAGGAAAGGTAATCTAAGCCTATTTACAGAGCTAATTTAAGTAGAAACTGCAAACAACATTTTAGCAATTGTCAGTGTGACAGATAAAATTAGAAAATATCTAAATACATTTTTTTGTTTGGTGGAATTTAGTTAGGGAATTTTTTTTTTTTTTAAATATTTATTTATTTGGCTGCATCGGGTCTTAATTGCGGCATGCAAACTCTTAGTTGTGGCATGTGGGATCTAGTTCCCTGACCAGGGATCTAACCCGGCCCCCTGCATTGGAAGTGGAGAATCTTAGCCACTGGACGAAGTCCAGGGAATTTATTTTTGATACCATTTCTTTTTGCCTCACTTGGAAGTTAATAGTGTTGGAATTGATGTATGTTGATAAATGAATTGGGCCTACAAATTTACCTATTTAAAAAAATCTTTTTAATGGCTTGCTTTGCAATATCATTAATATGACTCCTATCTTTTGAAATTATTATACTTACTGTGAATGGTTGCACAAACAGAACCTAAAGTGTGTGTTTTCTTTTTAGGTTCGAGATGTGAGGATGATTTCTGATAGAAATTCAAGACGTTCCAAAGGAATTGCTTATGTGGAATTTGTCGATGTTAGCTCAGTGCCTCTAGCAATAGGATTAACTGGCCAGCGGGTTTTAGGAGTGCCAATCATAGTACAAGCGTCACAGGTAACTTTTTTCTTGGTTAAGAATTTGATCATTGGTAGTGTTAGAAACTTGTTTTTTAGAGTTGTGTTGTAACGCCTTGAGCCTTACACAATCACCACTTCCTACCGTAAGTCAGATGTTCTCAGGGTAGCTTTTTTTAAAAAAATTTGCCTTGATTTCTTTGATAATTTTGTATTCTTAATAACATCCTGTTCCATTTTAGTGTAAGTTGTAAATACCTATTTCATGGAAAAGACTTGGGAACTTGTTCTAGAATTTTACTGATTTGTGATGACTTCTTATTTGGGGATAGAAGCATCTAAGAACATGTTTTCCCCTTCTGATCTTTTAAATGGAATGGTTTTGACATTTTTAGTAAATTTAATATTTTCACTGTTTTAAAATACATACTTGCGAAAGATTTTATATAATGTTAAGAATAGTTTGAACAGCTAGCTGTTAGTTCTAGCATTTCTTGAAAGTAAGGTGTTTCAGACTAATTTGGAGAATGTTTTGCAAGATAATCCAAATTATGATTTAATTCCTCTTTGCTGATGCTCCACAATAAATGAGTGTTGCCTTTGTAAAAATGAAATTAGTGTTAATATTTTAGTTCATTTAGGTATGGAAAAATTGGGATATATCATTCTACTGAGTATATGTATATATATTTTTTTGTGGTACGCGGGCCTCTCACTGTTGTGGCCTCTCTGGTTGCGGAGCACAGACTCCAGACGCGCAGGCTCAGCGGCCATGGCTCATGGGCCCAGCCGCTCCGCGGCATGTGGGATCTTCCCGGACCGGGGCACGAACCCGTGTGCCCTGCATTGGCTCTCGACCACTGCGCCACCAGGGAAGCCCCTTTATTGAGTATATTAACGTGAAAGTATTTTTTTGATTTTTCATCAGTACCTTTTTGTACTAAGAAGCAAGTTGATTTCTGTGACTACCTGATAACTTAGATTTTTTAAATGGAGAATATAGGATTTAAAGAATTTATTTTTGGCCTTGCCGAGCGGCTTGTGGGATCTTAGTTCCCCCACAAGGGGTTGAACCGGGCCATGGCAGTGGCAAAAGTGCCGAGTTCTAACCACTGGACTGCCAAGGAATTCCTGAGGATTTAAAGAATATTTTTTGAGCGATACAAAATAACAGTTGCTATGTTCGTTCCTTTTCAAACCCCTGAAACAAATACTCCTCATAACTCCTGAAAAATCTGGTTACTCATCAAGCTTTTACATCATTTTGTAGTTAGGCACAAAATTTGTAACCAGATCTTAAGTGAAATTCCAGTTTCACTGTTAAGCTGTAACTGTGGTCAGATTACTACCTTCTATCTCTAGAAGACGATGTGGTAGGTCCTACATAGTGTTGTAGCAGTATGTAATATTGGGTACTTATCATTTGGTTATATGTCACAGTAAGAAAAGAATTGTTAGGAAGCAGGCTGTGGGGAATCATTGCTCAATTCATTTCCCATGATGGAGGACAAACCTAATAGTGTGTACGTTGGCCTGGCAAAGGGCTCAGAAGAATCACATTGATAAATGAGATTTTGAATTCATTTAACTTTAACCTCCTATTATGCCCCAGTTTGTTAAAGGAGTTTGTGTTAGAATATAAATTGACAACTGTTTCCTTTGAGAAGTACTTGGTATGGGAAAAAATGACTGCTGAACTGAATGGTTTACTTAGTTTGATTTATATTGATGTTAGTCCTTTTAAGATGGACAGCCAGTTGGTGTACTGTACGTTGAGTAACAGTGATATTGAGAGCACATGAATAATGAGTGTATTTAACACTTCCAGGAGATAATCTTATATTTCCACATTTGGCATATCTGTTACCAGGATGCTGCTTTAGACTGGCATAATGTAGGGTTTTTTAAAATTTTTTAAAAAATTTTATTATTTAATTTTGGCTGCATTGGGTCTTTGTTGCTGTGTGCAGGCTTTCTCTAGTTGCAGTGAGTGGAGGCTACTCTTGGTTGTGGTGCGCGGGCTTCTCATTGCAGTGGGTTCTCTTGTTGCGGAGCACAGGCTCTAGGTGCTCCGGCTTCAGTAGTTGTGGCACATGGGCTCAGTAGTTATGGCTCGCAGGCTCTAGAGCACAGGCTCAGTAGTTGTGGCGCATGGGCTTAGCTGCTCCGTGGCATGTGGGATCTTCCTGGACCAGGGCTCGAACCCGTGTCCCCTGCATTGGCAAGCATATTCTTAACCACTGCGCCACCAGGGAAGTCCCCAATATTCTTTTATGTATGACTTACACTTAGCATAATTTGATATCAGTTGTCATTAAGCAAACCTAAGGTATGAGTGGGATTTGCTACTCTGCTCAAAATGGTATTTATTCATTCTTAAGTGGATGTGTGATGTGCCTTATGTGTTGTCTTAACTAACTTGTAGGCAGAAAAAAACAGAGCTGCAGCAATGGCAAACAATCTACAAAAGGGAAGTGCTGGACCTATGAGGCTCTATGTGGGCTCGTTACACTTTAACATTACTGAAGATATGCTTCGGGGGATCTTTGAGCCTTTTGGAAGGGTAAGTCCCAAGTTTTTTAGTGGATCCTAAATCTTGAAACAAATGTAACTGCACAATAATTTATTTGCTTTGTCATGTTTCTAAGAGATTAATGTTAGGATTGGAGTGGTTCTATAAAGTTTTTGAGACAACTTAGATCAAGATAGTTTCCCTGAAGATAGCATTTGAAGACAGAACCTGTCAACATTTGTAATGCTACAGTGCAATGCATAGTATTAGCTTCAATTATTAAAAAATCGACCTGAATGATAAAATGCACTGTGCATTGGAGCAAGAGATTTTTTTTTTCTTGGTTTGTTTCTTAGGATAGTATTTCTTACTGAAAATTTAAGGGTATATAAGCTTCTCTGTACTTAATATGTAAGGAATTAGAATTAGACTATTTATGCCCATTTAGTCCTCTTTTTTTTTTTTTTAAAGAACTCAGCTTTTTATTGAACGTGCTACTAAAGAGGTTTAATCAAAAGGACCAAAGCTCATGTCATCATCAGACTCTTCAGATTTCTCTTTCTTTGCTTCTACTTTCTTCTCCTCAGCTGGGGCAGCAGTGGTGGAGGGGACAGGACCTCCTGCTGGTGTAGCACCAGCTGCTGGGGCAGGTCCACCTGCCCCCACATTGCAGATGAGGCTCGCGATGTTGACATTGGCCAAAGCCTTTGCAAACAAGCCTGGCCAGAAAGGTTCAACATTTACACCGGCTGCTTTAATGAGGGCATTGATCCGTGACTGTCACCTCATTGTCGTGTAGGATGAGGGCCGAGTAGATGCAGGCGAGCTCCGAGATGGTGCGGGCAAGGGCTAGGCAGGGTCTGCCGGGCGCGGTGCTAGTTGCCAGATGAAGTGAGGGCCTCACCCCAACGCGGCCTTAGCTTCCTCGGAAGGACCGAGCACCTTAGCAGAAGCTGAGGAAAAGGTTTTTCTTTTTTTTTTTTTAATTGAGATAAAATTGATACAGCATTGTCTAAGCTTAAGGTGTACGACATAGTGATTAAACTTACATGCATCATGAAATTATTACAATAGGTTTAATGAACATCTGTCATCTTATACAGATACAACATTAAAGAAATAGATAACACATTTTTTTCCTTTGTGACGAGAACGTTTAGGATTTACTCTTGAGCCTTAATTTATGGTATACAGCAGTGTAATAATACATTACATCCCTAGTACTGATTTATAACTGGAAGTTTGTACCTTTAGACTACTTTCATCTAACTCTTCCCTCCACCCTCTACCCCCGACCCCTCACCTCTCTGTTAGCCACAAATCTGATCTTTTTTTCCATGAGTCTGTTTTTGAAGTACAGTTGAATTGCAACACTAATAGTCCCTGCTACACAACATAGTGACTTGATATTTTTATGCATTTTTTCCAAAAGAATCACCAGGGTAAGTCTAATTCTCCTCATTTTAGAAGAGATGTTAGAATAAATGTTACTAGTAGGCTGTGCTCTGGTTTAAAAAATTCATTGTGTGGCCATGAATAAAAATCTTGGTTCCTGTCGTACCTCGTCCACTACTTAATCTTTATGGCCCTTGGATATACATTTCGTTGTTTTCTTTCACTACCCCACTCAACCCCTTTGTTAAACTGTTTTATGTGTCAATAATGATAAAGTTGGGGTGTTGAATTTTGTGGGTGCTTTATATTTATTGGAAATATACACATATTAATGGTGCACAAATCATAATTGTATGAGTTGGTCAGTCATTACAAAATGAATACGTTCCTGAAACAACCAGAACATGAAATATAATATGTGGGTGCTGTTTTTTAATTGTTCATGCTTCCTTTGTATGACCGAGTTTGTTGGGATATTGTGATGTAGTAAATACAGTTCCCTCAGTTAAGGTGAACAATCATTGCTTTGTAGCATATTCACAGTGTTGTGCAACCATCAGCCACATCCCATTGTTGTTTTTAGTTATTCCAACATTTCAGGCAATTTATTGTGTCTGGCATAATTGAGAATTAACATTTGGTGTATTTTAGCAAAGGGGAAGAAAAAAGGTTGATTTTGTTTTTAACATTGTATTCTGCAAAGGATTTCAGATTTTTAGTGGGTTTTGATGCAAAAGACTCCCCAGTGCATAACTTCGTGTTTAGGAAGTTCCTCAGCCTCTAGAAAGAAGATTTTTTGGGTATGAGGGATTGTGATATGTTTTCTATTATGTTTTAGGGGGAGCCATTTTAAAATCATGTTTCAAGGGGTAAAATACTTTTGCCCCCCCATTTTTCATTTATATAAATAATAATTGTGGTTTTCATTTTTAGATTGAAAGTATCCAGCTCATGATGGATAGTGAAACAGGTCGATCCAAGGGGTATGGATTTATTACGGTAAGCAATTAACCATGATTAACATGACTTAAAAGTTTTTGATTTGAATAGCGTAGTGTAAAGCTTTATTGGTTATTGATAGTGGGGAAGGAGGTAAGGTTAATATTTTCAAGTGGTTTAACTTATTTTGCTGTTAGTAGCCAATTCTTAGTAGCTAAAGGTGTCCACCAAATGTGAAACTTACAGCAGTTTGCTATCATTCTGTTTATGGTCAGTTTGGTTAGCCAACTGTTCATGTAATTGAAGTCATTCACTCCTTTAGGATTTCTTCAGTCTCTTTTGTGACACAGGATGTTAGTTGCATAAAGGTCTCTTGGAATTCTCTTACTTTTTATATGGACACGTCGGACAACCATGACCAGGATTGCCTTATTAAAAGCGCTTGTAGCTGACCGTTGAAGCCCAGTGCCTGAATAGGGTATGAAGTGGCAGCTTGGAATAATTGTGAATGGAGGTGCCCTTTTAAAAGTAAACTGTTTATATATTAATGTTCATGATGCAATCCAATTACATGAGAACAGTTTTTCAAATTACTTTTTAACCTTGGAAAGTGCTGGAAACACATTTTTAGTTTAAAATACAGATAGTTGTCACCACTGCTGCCATTATACACAAAAAATTTTAAAAATACAGAGATCCCAGATTTTATCAAGAAATTACAATTGTGTCTTATAACCAAATTTAAATAAAACTGAAACCTATTCTGTAGTGATAATACGTTCCACTGTTCAGTGGGATTTTATCTATCTCAGTGTGTGTTGGTGAAAAGAAAAAAGTTATAAAACACCAACATGCTGATTTGTTACTAGTAACATTAGCATGATCTCCCCCTCCCCCCAAAAAAAGGTGTTCAAGGGATTTTACATGCAACTTACAAATATTTCCTCCTACTACTGTCTAAAGTATTTAGTGTTCTATGTGCTAGATTTAGTGCTTGAATATTTGCTCACTGGCCTGGCCATATTTTCACTAGAACACTACTAAATGTCATGTAAACAATGAAGACATTTTGCAAAGCATTTTAATTTTTTAACAAAAATCAAGTATGAACTATTTCCTATGGCTTACTGATTTGTATGCAAAGCTAGATTATGTAGGGACTTTCCAGGTGGTCCAGTGGCTAAGACTCCGAGCTCCCAATGCAGGGGCCCCGGGGTTTGATCCCTGGTCAGGGAACTAGATCCCGCATGCCACAACTAAGGGTTCGCATACTACAACCAAGCTCCTGCATGTGGCAACGAAGATCCCGCCTACCACAACTAAGGCTTGGTGCAGTCAAATAAATAAAGAAATATATTTTTTAAAGCAAGATCATGTAAATGTTGTGTGTGTAAATGTTTTTATATTTTGTAACTACTATCTGTAATTGTTCCCATCTCAATAATGGAAAAAAAATATTTTTAAACAATTCAACATTCTGATGAAAGATGAAGCTGTGGAATTAGAATATAGCCCGTTCTTCCATTATATTAAGACCAGATTGTGTGAATTAAAGTTTTATTGTGTCTGCATCCTGAAATTAAGACTAATACTTAACTGGCAATAAAACAATGACTCCGAATTTTGTATTAAAAATTAAGTTTTGTATTAAAAACCTGAGTTGAACTTTTAATTTTCCTGAATAGTGTACTTTTAAGAGAGAAAAGAAGCAACATTTTAATTTATTCCAGCATATTAAAAAGGGTTTTGATGTTTGAAAAACTACTTTTCACATTTTGTTACTGAGATTCTTTATTCCCAAAGACAGGTGTCATTACTTGATAATGTCTTGCCCTTTAAACCACCACATTAATAAATGTAATATGCGTAAACTTTGGTGGTCTGATAATTTAGGTTATATTACTTATAGCTTGAACTTGTTACTTTATCATCCTTGCAGATGTAATTATTGAATATACTAGCTTTAATAAGTAAGGGTTTCTTTACCTTGCATATGTAAATAATTGCTGGACTTTTTATCCCCCTCTCAATTGTATAGTTTTCTGATTCAGAATGTGCCAAGAAAGCTTTGGAACAACTTAATGGATTTGAGCTAGCAGGAAGGCCGATGAAAGTTGGTCATGTTACTGAACGTACTGATGCTTCCAGTGCTAGCTCATTTTTGGACAGTGATGAACTGGAAAGGACTGGAATTGACTTGGGAACAACTGGTCGTCTCCAGTTAATGGCTAGGCTCGCAGAGGGTAAGTTTATCCTAGTGTTGTGAATGATTTGTTGATACCGTAATGAGAAAGGTAACCATGCAGACAAATAAATGGAAAATTATTTTTTCTTATTTTGGGGTTGACTGTTATCCTTGGGCGGCACATGCGGTTTCATAGGTGAAATTCATTGCCTTAATTATAATGGAATCTACTTTATGATGATGCTTTTTGAGTACCACAGCATATGTTACAGGATTTCTTTTGCTTTCTATTATATCCTCATACTTCAGAATAAATTGAGTTGCAGTGCTTAATACTATGTCCTGCCTGTACAGTTGGCCTCCCATATCTGTGAGTTCTGCATCTGAGTACGGAGGGCAGACTTTATCACGCCACTTTATATGAGGGACTTGAGCATTTGTGGATTTTGATATCCGAGGAGATCCTGGAAATAATCTCACCTGCCCTGCTACCAAAGACCACTGTAATTTGTTTTAATGAAGTGACTTTTGTATTAAGCAACCAGAAAACTAGGATTTTCCCACTCTTAAAGCAGGGACGTTAAGACCTATTCTTTTACAGGTACAGGCTTGCAGATCCCACCAGCAGCACAGCAGGCTTTGCAAATGAGTGGCTCTCTGGCATTTGGTGCTGTGGCAGGTAGGAATTGAATCTTTTCTATTTGAAATCATTGTTTTTTCACCTAATTCGAAAATTTGCCAAATTTTTGCATTTAAAAGGACTTACTGAGAATTCAATTCATCAAGTACTTTTAACTTACAGATTTCAAGAGTTCATGTAAGGAAGTGGTGATACAGGACATAATTATCCACTCATAATAAACTGTCAGGGTATTTTTGAACCCTGCATACCAATTTTTAGTTGAAATTGCTGTTGTATTTTGGGTTTGTTTTGATTGATTGATTGATTGATTCTTTTGGCTGCATCAGGTTTTAGTTGCAACATACGGGATCTTTTGTTGCAGCACGTGGGCTCCTCTCTAGTTGTGGCATGCGGGTTTTCTCTCTAGTTGTGGTGTGCAGGTGTCAGGGTGTGTGGGCTCTGTAGCTTGCAGCATGCGAGCTCAGTAGTTGAGGCGCGTGGGCTTAGTTGCCACGTGGCATGTGGGATCTTAGTTCCCTGACTAGGGATCTAACCCGTGTCCCCTGCACTAAAAGGCGGATTCTTTTATCATTGGACCACCAGGGAAGTCCCCGTACGTTGTTAAGTCTTTTTAAATGTGTCACTTTTATTGAAGACCAAAAAGTTTATATTGTTTCAAAGGAAAAATAGTCTTTGTAATATTTTTGTTTGGAAAGCTACCAGAGGCCTTTGAATCAAGCTTTATTTAAAATAATTACAGTGTTAAGAGTGCAGAGAATACTGCTTTCCTAATTAGAACATACTACAGTTGATCCTTGAACAACATGCGTTTGAACTGCAAGGGTTTACTTATACACATGGATTTTTTTCAGTTGTAAATACCACATGGTTAAATCCATGAATTTGGAAGGACTAAGGATATAGAGGGTCTACTATAAGTTACATATGGGTTTTCAACTGCTCAGATGGTTGGTGTCCCTAATCCCCAAGTTGTTCAAAGGTCAACTGTATTTTGAGATTTTGAGTTATAGAATGAAGTGCCTGGAGAGGTGAGGAAAAGAGGGAGAGAATTGATAGTTTCTTACAATTATGTAACAATGGGTTTAGTTTATGAATCACATTGTTTTCTTCTCTTTTGTGGCTCAGGTACTTGAAATTAACCCAAATCTATGAGCTAGGATAGTATTAAGTTTTGAGATGTTGAAGTCTTGCTTTTAGAATATCTGAGAAGAACCGTTTGTAGTTTGTACTTTAGATGACAAGAAACACTAACCCAAGAAAGTATGGCAATATAAGATCATGGTACTGCATCTGAATATATAAAAAGTTCTGTGTGGTTGCTTCATGATTTCCTTTTCAATTGAAAAGCCATTAATTAACAGAGAGGATCGTTTTTGCATCTGCATTATTCTTTATAGGGGGCACTTCTGTGTTTTCCTTTTTTTAGTGAATATTTTAAAGTTTGTGAGTACTTTAGGGTCTTGTGCTTCCTTTCAAACTGATATATTTTGAAATCTGATGGGTAGTTTTTTAAAATTACTGACAATCATGTTAGTGTATTCATATGAGAAGGACAGTTATAACTATTAATGCATTTCTGTATTTATGAATAAATTATTGTTTTGATTTAAACAAGTATTAGACATTTAATTTCTTTGCAGTGAACACGTAGTCATAGAATGTCACATACTGTAATTGAAGATACTAAAGGAAACCCATCACTTCAGAAATATATCCTAGTCTCTGGTTTGACAGTTACTATTTTACCTGAAAACTGTATCCGTGTATTGCTTCCCATTGTTAGGTCATTCTTTCAATAATTTAGAAAAATGCTAGTGTTTACCATATTCTAGATATTTCACTAGAGGCTGGTGCCTTTAGGGATTTAATACAAATACATATGATTCATTTCTAAACAATCTTCTGTTATATCCTGGCTGCTGTATCAAATATGTTGATTTGGTTTGTAAACAATATCTTCGCCTGTAGTTTTTCAGTGTTAGACATTATTACTTCCCTAAGCCATTATTTCTCTTACGATGAATGAAGAATGACTATACTTCCCTGGGCACACTTAACTGGGTAGTTTATATTAAGGCTGAAACTTCTAAATGTCCATGGATTGCTTAAAATAGCCATTTAGTTAACTATTTGTTAGTTATACTCCCCCTTTTTAGTGTTGATAGATGATTTTAAAGTTTCGTACTGTTTTCTTAAAACTTCCAGTAAATTGCTATTACTACTGAATTAATAATCAGCACTCTATTCTAAGGTAAATATTTACATAACTGGGTATTTTTCTTCTGTCGTTAAAACCTTACATATTCCTTGTTAAAATAAGATAAGTCGCTGAGTGTTGATGTCAATATTTGAGGCCCTTGTTGCCGAAGTTCTTAAAAGTTGTTTTTTGAAACCAAGAGTGGCCTATCACTATATCCACATGTCTTTATTCTGGAAGTTTAACGGGTCTTTTCTAAGATAAGTTAGTTCTTATCTGTATGAAACCCATGCTTTGTTTCCTAATCTGTTAACAAATGACCTGAAGAACCATTTTTGAAATTTTGATTTATATACACTTAATATAGCATGGATTTCTGATACCTATACATTTTTTCCCATTTTAGGGAAAAAAAGACAAATTGCTTTATAATTTAAAGTTTATTGACAATGTTCCTATGGTCATATCTTCAAGTTCCTTCAGTATACACCAGTTACATTTCTTCAACTCCCTGGGATGCCAGTTTTGAGCACCTAGGACCCAGGTATTCTTACATCCCCATGTGACTTGGGCTGCAGATCCCTTTTCATTTTTGCCTATGTTTTATGATCATTTTGTATACTCAACAAGAAGCCCAAATGGTAATAAAGTATTGCAGTTGGATCACGTGTTACTGAAAATAAGGTTACTGAATTCAAACAATTTCTGTGTTGTATATATCTATAGTTTTTAAACTTCAAGATACCTTTGGATACTGTGACATTTTCTTCACTTTTCACACTTGCTGCTGCTTTCACTTGATGGCAGCTTTCTCTTAATTGGCCTTCTCATGTAGAATTTTAATGATTATATGAGAAAATATATTGGTAGAAATCACCATTCTGTTTATTTTTAATACAGACTAGATGGTTAGATTTTTCTTGTACTACATATAGTAAATCTGATTAGATTTCATTCCTGCCTCATTAAATTTCCAGAATAGGCCAGGAAATCAGACCTAATAAAACTACCACCTTCTGGGCTGGACATGACAACTTAAAAGAACTTAAATAATATATACATATGGTTAGAATGGGGTTTTTCACTACTTAATCGGTAGATTATTGAAAGTGTTTGACGTGTACTGTTGCAGTATTGACTCTTTCACCATAAACTTCTAAAGTTTAAAATGCTTACTGACACTGATAGAACAATAAATAGTTGAATATCCCAAGTACTTGGAATTGAATTCTCAAGATCAGGGTTTTCATGCATTTTTCTGACCGGTGTGCTTCCCTTTCCCCATTTCCCATTATTCCCATGTGAAGAGTAGTATAGTGGAATGCCTTTGAGATGTGGAAGAGTTCTAGGAATAGGAATAGAGAGGCATACGTTTCCTAGGATAGGAGGAAAGAAAAAGGCCCCACAGCCTTGTCAATGAGGAATGGGGAAGGAGGTTTGGCTGCCAGGTTTTACTATAAGTTCATTTTGATAAACCCTGCTACCATAGTCCTCTTTTATTAATGCTTTCCTGACATTTACCCTGTTAGTTGAGGCTCTTCATTGTTCCTGCACTGAGCTGTAGAATTCTCTTTTGTTATAGATTTGCAAACAAGACTTTCCCAACAGACTGAAGGTGAGTTGAGTTTTTTATTTGTTTTTGAAGTGGATGTTAATGTAGCAGGACATAGTTGTGTATATATATTTTATCATAATTATTACTGTAGTTTGTATTTTGGGCCCAGTTTTGTCAGAATGACATACAGTGTCATTAACAGTAAGCCAGAAGGCCTAATCCAAGTCATTACAATTACATGAATAAAGATGATAAATGTCCATGCTTTTTTTGCTTATAGCTTGCTTAGAATTATTTTCAACTTTGTATGCCTATCTTTGTGTTCTGATTGTACATTTTATATAGATGTCAGAAAATGAAACTTGTCATTTTGGTAGACAAATCTTTTAGAACATGGAGTCTGTGAACTTAATATAAGGTTAGGAAGAACTAACTCCAGTGATTTGTGTAAGCAGTACCAAGCAATGAGATTATCCAGAACTAAATTGCATGCAGATTTCAGAGATTGTGAAACAATTTATAAAATAGGCTATTTTCTTAGTTTTCAATTATCAAGTAAATCTCTGCCACTTAATACAGCATTTTGTTGCAGTAATTTACAGGATATACTTAAAGTCGTTTAGGTAAATGATTCTGTATGAAAAAGGTCTTTTCTTGTTCCTTGATAGTCAGGAATTAAATGTGTATCTTAATTTTTTCAGCAAAAGAGACAATTGTACTCAATCTTTTTTTTTTTCCTAACAGATTTTTAAAAGTAGAACTGGTGGATTTTCCTCTTAGTTATATTTCTATGCTGAATTCATTGTGTTCTGCATTCATCTAGGTTGAGCTGGAATATTTCCATGATACATTTTCTAATATTTTTCAGTATTCATAGCATACAGTGACCTTCTAGTGTTTTTTCCAAGCATACTTCATTCCATTTGTTTATGATAAAGGTACACAGTGGGCTTCGTTTTTTTATTGTAATATGAGCACACTTGCATCTTTAACTTTCTTCAATAGAATTTGACGTTAGTTATCTTAGCATTTTTATTTTCATACAAAGTTTTATGAACGACAAATACTTGTTTATTGAAGTAAACTATAAAGAAGCAAAAAGCACTTGTTACTCTATCAGAAACTATCTTTTTTATGATGTATTTCATGCACAGCCCTAGTTTTTATTCAGTGGAATGTTTCTTATACTTAGGTTATTGTTCATTTTAATTACCATAATTTCTAATGCACTGTTTTATCCATAGCTTTGTTTATTATTGTTATGTATTGGAATGAAATTTGGTCAAATATTATGATTACGGTGAGTTCTGTAACAGCTACTGGTAATGTTTTCTAAGCCACATAAAAGCAATGGAGCAACTGTCTTGGAAAATGCACTTCAAACTTAAAACCAACATTGGTTTAAATTTGCTCCTAAGTATTAGTGTCCAGTAGTTTTTTATTTTTAACAATGACTATTATAGATACATATTACTCTTCTTAGTGTTTTCTCCTGCTAGAACAGACCTAATCATTTTAAAAATATTAATTTGATGTTGTAGTAGGTTTTATAGTCCTAAGATGTTAAATCTTAAATACTTGGATGGTTTTATGTATATTATTTTTAAAACTTCATCCTTTTATAATGTTTATATATTTCAAAGAAAATATGTAACTATATATTCATAGGCAGAAACATAAGAAATAAAACATGGTATAGATTTAGTTGGCATTTTAATACTGTATTTGCATCATCCCCTGCTTCTCAGGGTATTAACTCCAGCAGTCCTACGAAATCAGTCTTGTTTTTATTTTATTGTTTGTATTATTGATATTTGTCTAAATGAATTTTCACTACATTTAAGGTTTAACTTCCCTTCTAAAAACAAAAGTCCCAACTTGGGATCAGCTATCTCAAATACTAAGTTGCCTTAGCTTTCTGGCAGCTAAAATGGGGTATTGTTATATACACTGATGTTTGATAGCATTATTGAATATGGTGAATTAGTGAAGTGACTGACTACCCTAGTTTCACCCTGTGGGTCCAGTGGTTATATTGGGCTTTGTTTTATTCATAGGGATATTCTGATGCATTTTCCATGAAACTGATTTCTCCCTTTCTCTTTTTTTTTTTTAGCTTCAGCATTAGCTGCAGCTGCCTCTGTTCAACCTCTTGCAACACAGTGTTTCCAACTCTCTAACATGTTTAACCCTCAAACGTAAGTAATATACTTTGGTCAAGTTCAAAAGGGTATGCTGTGAAATCTTTAATGTTTAACTTGTCTAAGTTAACATTTAGCATGTTTTCAGCATATTTCGTAGTTCAAACACTGCCACAATTTTGATCCTTTTAGTATAATTATTTTCCTGCACATTATGAATTGTTTCCCTTGAATGTGTAAGATTGGAATTCATTTGAAAGCTTTGTAGATTTTATGTTTTCCATTTATATCTAGTAGTTTTCTGTGAAGTTTGTATCAGTATTTATTTGTATCACCAGTATACTCTTTTCCTGGTCCTATGAAATGGTGATAAACTTGGTATAAGTATCTTTGAAAGATGTCAATTAACCACTTAAATGTTAAGCAAATGATTTTTAAAATAACACACTTAAGATTGTTTAGACAGATTGGAATATATGTGTATCATTTTATAAGTTTGAGTAGTGTCTCATAGATTTAATACTTTGTTACAGAGAAGAAGAAGTTGGATGGGATACAGAGATTAAAGATGATGTGATTGAAGAATGTAATAAACATGGAGGAGTTATTCATATTTATGTTGACAAAAATTCAGCTCAGGTATTTTGTTACTTTCTTGTGTCTTATTTTTCACACACTTGGGACATATTATGATCACTGTTTTTCCTTAGAGCGTGTTGGGGTTTTTTGTTTTCTCCTGAGAGAAGCTTTAGCATACTGACTAAATACACTCCCTACAAAGTAAAGACACTTTTAAAATAGTTCAGGTCATCATGTAGCATTATTGTTGCTGGTTAGTGTTCAAAGGTTGCCATGAAATTCTGGCACCTTGATTTCATTCTTCAGCAGCTTTCACATCATAGAAGATAGTAACAAGGCCAGTTTTGGGGATGATGAAGTATTTTCAATAAATTTCTAGGTTATATATATTAGCTAGTGGAACAATTATGTAGTTATAGAGCAGTTTTTCTATAGGTAACTTGAATAAACCTACTGGAATCCATGTTGTATATCACACCTTTAACCTTTTTTGTTGTATTTTAGGGCAATGTGTATGTGAAGTGCCCATCAATTGCTGCAGCCATTGCTGCTGTCAATGCATTGCATGGCAGGTGGTTTGCTGGTGAGTTTGACCTTTTTTCTGAGTGATTGTTTTTAATGGTCTAATCTAAGTGAAGAAGCTAAACGACCATATGTGTTTCTTTCAACAGGTAAAATGATAACAGCAGCGTATGTACCTCTTCCAACTTACCACAACCTCTTTCCTGATTCCATGACAGCAACACAACTACTGGTTCCAAGTAGACGATGAAGGAAAATATAGTCCCTTATGTACATAGCTTTTTTTCTTTCTTGAGAATTCATCTTGAGTTATCTTTTATTTAGATAAAAATAAAGAGGCAAGGGTCTGCTGTCATTTGTATACAGTTCCTGTTACCTTGAAAAAATAAAAATGTTAACAGGAATGCAGTGTGCTCATTCTCCCTAACTAGCAAATCCCACTGTATACAAAGCTGTTCTCTTGTTCTGCCTTTTAAATGTACATGTAGAAAATTACATTAAGGATCTATAGGAATAGCTCTAGGGGAACAAATGTGCTTAACATAAAAAGGCAGACAGGGATGTAATGATGTTTTTAATGTTTCAGAAGCCTAACTTTTTACACAGCAGTTACATTTCACTAATGTTGATATTTGGTTAATGGTTTAGCAGAGGTTTCTGGAATACATAGTTTATGGAAATTCAAGACAGCTAAAAGGGCTGTTTGATTAACATCTCATCTTGCATTCTGATCAACTGGCAAGAAAAGGAGATTTCAAAATTACATTTCTGGATGGTATCTTTTCAATTAATGTATCTGTAAAAGTTTCTTTGTAAATATTATGTGTTCGGGTGTGTCTAAGATTCCAAACAAAATGATCCCTGCATTTCCTCAAGATGTTTAGTGACAGTCTGGTAAGCAAAGCAGTCTGAGCAAGAAATAGGAAATGCAGAAATAGGTTTTGTCTGGTTGCATATAATCTTTGCTCTTTTTAAGCTCTGTGAGCTCTGAAATATATTTTTGGGTTACTTCAGTGTGTTTGACAAGACAGCTTGATATTTCTATCAAACAAATGACTTTCATATTGCAACAATCTTTGTAAGAACCACTCAAATAAAATTCTCTTAAAAAGGCCACAAGAAATCTTCATTTTTGAAATGTTTTAAAGTCACAGAAACTTGGAAATAGAATATTAGTTTCTTTGACTTTTTAGTTGCCTCTTTGGGAAAATTCTTAGTGAAACTGTTGCCCTCAAGTTGTCCCTCTACATTCCTCTGTATCAGTCTTAGTACCGTACTACTTATTTAGGGTATTATATCAAAACTGAGGAACTTACCAAAAAGAAAACCAAACTGATTTGACCAGGCCTCAAACCTGGGCATCCTTAAGTCTCTCCTACGTTTTCTGGACATATTTGTGGGGGGGAAAAATGCCTTGTTATTTAAAAGCAAATACTGGAGAAAATGGTGTAAGTTCAAACTGGTTTCCCAAATTGATTTAACTGCATTTTTGAGCTTTAACTTGACTTGGGCAGCAACCCTTCATGATTTATACTCTGAACTCTGCTTCAAGTTTTTATGTCTAGGTTGAATCTTTTGAGTAGGGGATGTTGCTGCTAATTGCTCCTTCCAATACTGATTTCCTCACCTGCCTGAACTTCTGTTACTACTGTATTGATTTGTTAGGGCTGAATCATAAGTATTACAGTTTATTCAGATATCAAGATAACTCAGTTTGAATTTAGAGGCATCACAGTTTTCTACCAACCCTTTTGAGGGATGTTTGTAATTCCCTTACTTGCTTCAGTTATTTAACCTGAAGAAAAATTTCAAGATTCGACTTTATTTTTGAACACCAGGCAGCAGTGTTATTGGGTGGCAGAGACATACATAATGCCAACTTTTTTCTTTCCAGATTATCTCCTAGTAATTAAAAATGTATTCTTGGATCAAGTTACTATCAGGTTTGTTCTGTCATTCCTTTCTAGGGAACTGGGCCAGCAAAGGTGCCTTCAGATGTTATTTAATCTCATCTGTTAAGACGTGGCAAAAATTTGCCCACCACCAAAGAATGAAATTTGGGTTGTAGGGCTTCCCTGGTGGCGCAGTGGTTACGAATCCGCCTGCCAATGCAGGGGACACAGGTTCGAGCCCTGGTCCAGGAAGATCCCACATGCCGCAGAGCAACTAAGCCCGTGCGCCACAACTACTGAAGCCTGTGCCCCTAGAGCCTGTGCTCCACCAGAGAAGATACGACAATGAGAAACCCGTGCAAGAGTAGCCCTTGCTCACCGCAACTAGAGAAAGCCCGTGCACAGCAACGGAGACCCAACACAGCCAAAGCTAGATAAAAGAAATTTGGGTTGTAAATGATGTTCAAAGCAAATTTGTTAAAGAGTTCAGTCAAACAGAAGATAGCTCAAATGGCTATTCGGAGTGAGATCCTTTAATCAATTCCTGAGACAACATCCAATTTGTGAATTTTTTAGGTGCTGTAATTTCTGGGAGTGTCCTTGATTGCAGTTAGATCTGAGTGTCTTTATGCCCCCCAAATATTCCAGTGTAGTTTATTATAACATTACCATCTTCTTAATGATTGAGAAATATTTGAGGGGAACTCAGCAATATCAAGGAATATGTTGCTTGTACAGGTGAGGGAAACGAAACTACCTTAAGCCAATTAATAGAATGGGGGGGTCAGTTGGTAAAGTTTACATCTTCACTGGTGGCTGGTTAGAAAATTATCTGGGATTCATGAAGCTGAGAGGTTAGTTGGTTTGAATTTGTTCTTTTTCTGATCAAGTCATATCTGAAGGACAATTTTTGGGTGAACAATTTAATAGCTAACCTTGTGACCTTGAGGAAAATCTAGACTTAACATTTTAAAGGTGAAAAACTAATAGCATCAACCTTAAAGGGTTGAATAATAAGGATTTACTAGAATCTGTGAAAAGTCCCAGGTATGCAGAATCATTCTAAACTATTTTTAAAAAGTTGGGTCTTCGTTGTGGCATGTGGGATCTAGTTCCCTGAGCAGGGATCAAACCTGGGTCCCCTGCATTGGGAGCACCTAGTCTTAGCCACTGGACCACCAGGGAAGTCCCCCCCAACTTTGGATTAACAGAAAGGTCTTGTGAAACAAGACACCAAACCTCACTAGCTCACCTGCAAAGATCTCTAACCAAGCTGGGTAACAGGCTGAGAGAAAAAATGCTTCTAACAGAAACTCAGAATACTCAGACTTGTTTTATTATAGTACATGGGCTGGGAATGATGGGAGGGGGTGGATGTTGTGGGCAACCACTGCCCTGATCAGCACCGGATGCCCATCCCAATGGCCATGAATGTGCCAAAGGTGCCGCCACTCTGCATCATGGTTTTCCCGATGCCGCCCATCAGCTCCCGACCCCGCATTCCGATCCTGAGAGGAGGAAACCAAGATGGGGCCAATTGGGAACAAAAATGCAGGGAGGAACATTAACTGCCCTTTTCCAATTTGTGTTTATAATGGGCACTGCTGAAGTCTGGCAGGATATTATCTCTTCCCATATGGGTTGTGTAATGCCAAGGAAAAGGGTCCATTAGGGTCTCTAGGTGGATTCTGATGAATGTGTCAACTGACTTCTGTTTGTGGGAGGCAACAAAAGCAGTATAAAGTACATGGACAGGGAAACCATTTTTTTGTGCTAGTTTACGATCCAATAAGACATCTGTCTTTTAGACGGTTTCCTAGTGTTAAAACAATGATAGGGATGTCAGACCTGGGTTCAAGAACTAAGAATGCAATTTACAGGCTGTGTCAAGTGTAAAATGAGGAGCACAGCATTCACAGCCCTGTTGTGATAACAGGGCATTTAGCACCGTGACTGACAGTGCTCAGTAAATGATAATTTACAATCTGGAAAAATGGGAATAGTCTCTTTTATGTGTGAAAATGACAGGGTGTAGAGTTTATCTGCTTAATTTCTACATCCTGTTCCCAGTAAATTTAATCGTTTGTTTCGCTATGCGCAATTGGAAATAAATATAACAGCAGGAAGACGGTAAGAATAGCCTTTTATTGAGCACTTAACACGTGCCAGATTGTGTGCTAAGTGTGGTCTGATTTGAGCCTTATAACTATATGATGTAGAGGTTACTGACCTCATTTTACACTTGAAACCCAGGCTCCAACTTGCCTAAGGTTACAAAATGAGTAAGGGGCCATTGAGTGTTTGAGTCAGAGCTCATATTCTCAACCATTTAGGCTTCCAACCTGTCCTCCCAGATTGAAGGTGGTTAGGAAATCAGTCTCGCTCGTTAGAGGGCAGCGAGGGAATTGGAAAGAAGTAGGCTCTATTCCAGCGGCAGGCCGAGTGGGGCGGGAAAGTCCGGTAGTCCCGCCCAGAGATCACGGCCCATGCCCCTCACCTGAGACAGGAAAAGGTGCCGAAGAGCGCCCCGGCTGCCATGCCCACGGCGCAACCCATCACAAAGCCCATCTTCACGCGGTCGAAGCAGCTTGGCTGTGACTGTCCATAGGGGCCCACGGCCACCGGCATCTGCGGGGTTCGAAGGCTTGGGGAGTGTGGGCCTAGCCGCCAGCCCGAGTCGGGCAGGGGGCGTAGGAGGTGGGGCAGGGAGCGGGCCGGGGGGTTCGGGGAAATCCGGGAAGGAAAAGAAGGGTGTAGCCCGGCTCCATCACCCTCTGAGCGTTCGAGTCCCCGCGCCACGGTGCCCCCACCTTACCTTGCTCGCGGCCTTGGTCGCTCAGCCTCTACGTCTCACACGGAACGCGAGGCGGAGCGCACTCGCGGCCAGAGGAACCGCTTCCGGGGCGCGGAGTAGTACTTCCGGGGGCCTGTAGCTGGGGACTCCAGCCGCTTCGGGCGCAGGGCTGCTACCGAGATGATGCTACTGAGAACCTCTTGGAGGCTGGTGGCCGCGGCCGCCCCCGCCGCTCTGTGGCCGAGGGCGAAGGCACCCACTCGGGAGCTGCGCCTGCGCGGTACGCTCCGGGACTCGCTCGCTGCCACTTCCCCGGAGGCGAGGATCTCTCCCTTGGGCGCGGGGACGCACCTGCATATTCAGGAACCTCCCTCTTCCGCCCGCTACCCAGACCCTCTGACCCTTCCTCTTGGCTGCACCCCTCAAACTTTCTCATGCCGGCCCTCCGAACGGTTGACTTCGCCGCGCGCCCCCCTCCCGCACTTCAGATCCTTCCCTGCAGGCCCTCAGAGCCCTTGATGCTCGGCCTTCGGACCTCTCCTGGCCAAATTTTAGAGATGCCAGTCGTCCAGCCAGTAACCTTTGAAGGAGATCTTACATACCGTCTCCACATTCCTTCTCAGTGGCTTTGCCCTTTCAGAGGTCTCCTCACTCCCAACTATGCAATTTGAATGTTGTCTCAGCAACCCCCTCCAAGAACCCTGTCTCTCTCCCTTACCTCTTTTTACAGTTGGCTCAAGTTTTCTGATGTTTTGTTTCCTTTTCCACTGAGATTCGACCTCAGCACCCCTTAAATTTATCTCACCTCCATCCAGCTTTTACCTTCTGCTGTCTTGGATGCCCTGTGTGCAGAGTTGCATCCTCTCACGTGGCCACTCCATTCTATTTTTTGTCAGTTGTAGACCATGCTCCCCAGTCTGCTGTTCCCTCAGATGCAGCCACTGCTCCGGAGGCGGAATCAGTGCTGCGACCTCTGTATATGGATGTGCAAGCTACAACTCCTCTGGTAAGGATCGAGGGTCAGCTTTCCCCAAGCTGTTTTTAGGAATTATATTGTAGAAGTGGCAATGCACAGAAATGGCTGAATCCCTGTAGAAGTAAGAGCCATTGAGAACTGTGTGTTGGGAAAAACAATGAGCCAGGAGTCAGGAGGCTTAAGCTGTAATCCTGTAGAAATGGCTTTACTACTTACTAGCTATTGATCTTGGACACATCACTCAGTGCAGGCACTCTGGTAGTAGTTAAAAGCATAGGCTCTGGAATTAGCTGGATCGCTACTTACTACGTGAATTTGGGCAAGAATTAAATAGGTTAAAAGACAGTAGCCCTTAGAACAGCGCCTGGCGCATGATAAACACTTGAATATTAATGCACGTTTTCATCAACATGTGGACTCTGTCATGTCCTGGGCTCTCGTAGATCACATTT